AAAAAAAAAAAAAAGAGAGCTAGGTTCCAATCCCTAGAATCTGTAAATGCTACCCAATTTGGAAACAGGGTCTTCGCAGATCTGATTAAGGATCCTGAGATAGGAGATTACTCTGTATTATACAGCTAGCCTGTAAATGCATGTGATAACAAGTGACTTTATAAGATACATACAGAGGGAGATAAGACACACCCCCAAAAAAGAGGTAATGTGAAGATGGAGGAAGAGAGTGGAATGATCTGACTACTGGCCAAGGAATGCCAGTTATTCTTTCTTCCAGGGGAAGCTAAAGAGATAAGGCACAGGTTCTCCCTAGAGCCTCCAGAGGGAGTGTGGCCCCTTCTAACATCTTGATTTTGGCCCAGTGAAACTGGTTCAGACTTTATTTAGGCCTAGAACTGTGAGAGAATAAATTCCTGTTGCTTTAAGCTACCCACAAAGCTTGTAGTCATCTGTTACAAGTATCCACAGGAAATTAATACAGCTCTCCTGTGTTATTCAAGTCTCAGTTTACTCTCCACTCCTTTCCCTTCCCCTTCCTTCTGGCACTTCCAAGTTTACAAAAATATCCTATTATTTGTTGAGTCTGTCTTCTACATGTGTTATGATAAGCTTTACATGCAATAGCCACTGAATCCTCACAATCCTATTAGGTAGGTCCTATTATTCCTATGTTACATTTCAGCAAAATGAGTCTCAGAAGAAAAACTGGTGGAGTCACATTCTGAAATAGGTAGTGGAACTAGTATTCTAATTCCATCTAGCTCAAATATAAAATCCACACTTTTAACCTCTATATTATACTTCCACAAGCTCTCTGGGTTAAGTCAGGGTTTTCATTCTTGTATCAACTAATGACATTTCAGGACATTTATCTGAGGGATATTTTCAAGGATGCGGGACCAAAGGAGGACAAATCCACCAGATCAAGAAACCTAGCTGCCATTTTTTTTTTTCAGCAGAGTATGGAAAAGTCAAGTTAAAAGGATTGTCGAGATCCATTTGGTCAAACTTCTCATTTTATAGATGAGGAAGCTAGTCCTGGAGAGAGGAAGGTTCTAGTTTAGGTGTCACCCACAGAGGCTATAAGTGGTAGACTTGAATCCAGGTTTCACTTCTCTTGCATATTCCACTGTCCAAAGTCATGGGTGCTGCTATGACACTTGATCTTAGCCAAAAGGCTGAGAAGTGAAGATGAAAAAAATGTATCTGAAACCAAAGCTATAGTGCCCCTGGGATCTTTCTCACTATACATACTTATATAATGGCATTGTGCATTACTGTAGTTTAATGAGATGGGGATTGGGAAGACGAAGCTTTTGCATTGGGAAGAGGAAGCTTTTGCATTGACATGAACTGAAGGGAACATTATGATGTGACCACAAATAACAGGGTTAGAGCAGGAAGAGTGATACCTTAAGAAAAAGTAATGGCCAGCATACCCAGGACCTCAAGAACTTGCTAGAGTTTATAAACCCCAGAGTGAGCCAAGAAAGGGCCAGAGGGGAGAAAAGCAGCACCCTACTCTAACCCAGAGGCAGACCAACAAAGCCGGAGGAGAGCAAGAAGTCCAAGGTGGAGTGTGTGTGTGTGTGTGTAAGCAGTCTACTGCATCCCATTTAAGCCAGGAATACCCTGTCGTTCCTCAAAAGTGTTATCCTTGGACTCAGCCCGCTGATGTACACTCTGTCGCTAATCAAATTTGCTTCTGTTTCTGCTAAGACAGTGGCTTTGAACTCTGGCATGACCATAGTCAAGGTCCGAGGAACCCTCAAACCTAGAAATATCTAGGAACCCCAGAAGGACATAGAAAATTCATTTTTAGAACTAAAGGGATACCTGGAAATGTCATGAGTGGCAGCCTTGTGTAAATTGGGAATTGGTTTGGAAACTAAACATCCCTAATAATACCGTAATATTCTTCATCTTCACATATGCCCACTCAACAAGTAATGAGTTCCTGTTGGTGCCTGCCTTTATGCTTATTAAGGTAGTTTAAAAAACATAATTTAAGGTGTTCCACATATTCTTAGCACCTAATAAATGCTATTCGTAAAACAATAACAGTAGCAGCAGCCACTGGTTTTAAGACACGTTGATCTTCGCTTGAGAGACTATATATACCAAAGTGCTCTTTGCCTGAGTTCCGCCAGCCATTGCATTCTGGGGTTTGTAGTCCGGAAGCAAGTGGCTGATTAGTCAGCGCGCAGGCGCACTGGTACCAATTCCCGGAAGAACCAGAAGACGCTCCGACGATGAGCGGGTGGCGGTGGCTGCGGCTGCTGTGGCGGCGCTGACAGGACACGAGCTCTATGCCTTTCCGGCTGCTCGTCTCGGTTGGCCTCCTGTGCGCGCTGTTGCCCCTGCACCATGGTGCGCCGGGCCCCGACGGCACCGCGCCCGACCCCGCCCACTACAGGTGAAGGGGCTCAGGCTCTCCCCACCCCCTTCCATAGTTGGGGAATGGGAAGCGCAGACCCAGTCCCTGCCCTTCCCTCCTTTCCAGGACCCCTACCCAGACCGGCTCGAAGCCCGCTTCTGGGCTCCTCGGCACAAATCTGGTGGTGATATCCCCGCTTTCCGCGCTGTTTCTTGTCCTTGCACCTGTTTGGTTTCGTTTTATGGCCCCCTACCTTATATCTCGTACCCCGCACCAGGGAGCGTGTCAAGGCCATGTTCTACCACGCCTACGATAGCTACTTGGAGAATGCCTTTCCCTACGACGAGCTGCGACCTCTCACCTGTGACGGGCACGACACCTGGGGCAGGTAGTGCGAGCGGAGGAGCAAGGGGGAGGCCGGGGTCTGGCAGTCTCTTCTTAGACGGGTGGGTCTGCTTGGGCTAATGGCTTAATGGTTTCGGTAAAGCTCCTAGTCTGGGCGAGGCCGCCTTCCCCCCAGTTCAGGCCAGCATCACCAGTACCCTCCCACCCAGCTGAAAAGTTGGATGCCTAAGTGGAAAAAGCCCAGGGTATCCTGGTGTACTGGATCTCTGGGCTCCAACCACAACAGTAATAGGCACCAGTTGTGGGGACTTGAGCAAATCTATGGAGTCACGAGATATTGTGAAAAGACCCAAGAAATTAGAAAACTTAATCCCCGTCATTTTATAAGTGAGCAAACTGGTCCAGAAGGGGATGCAACCCTCAAACGTGGAACTTCAGAACCTTTGTTGTTAGTGTAGTGGAAACACACTTCCCCCATTATCCTCATATCATTGCCTATTGAGTTTAGCTCAAAATGTCACGTTCTCAGTATCAGTTCCCCTAACTAGGAACCCCCTACAGAGATCTCATATCCTGTGCCCTACAGGTTTCTCACAAATCGTCCCTTTTATTTTCTTCGTAGCAATTCTCATTCTCTGAAACCGTCGTTTTTATTAATCTGTTTAGTTTGCCTTTTGAATTCCTCTAGAATACAAATTTTTGAAGGTTGGAATTCCCTATTTTGTCCCTTACTGAGCTGAAGCTGACATTGATTATTGCACTAATCATTTTACTTGTGTCAGCTCATTTAATTCTCTAGGAATTGAGTGCTATTATCTTTGTTTTGTAAATGAATATAGTAGGGCCTAGGGAAATGAATAAACTTAATAGAGTTTGGACTATTTTGCTTGAAAGAATAAAACAAAAAATGGTAATTCACGCAGTACAAAATCTCAATACAAAAAGTAATTTATCTTCCTTACCTTCGAATTCCAAGAACTGTCAACTTTCTTGTGTATTCTAGAAATATTTTTGTTTGTACCATTACTTTTTACATATATATGTATATATGTATACATAAAACAACTTCATAGTTATGCACTCTTTGAATGTACTGTGATTTAGTCACACATATATACATTATATATGCATACATACGTTTTACATATGTACGTGCATATATATGTGTGGGCGTGTGTTTTTAAATTAACGTTTTAAAGGCACAACTTGCATCTAATAAAGTACATTCATTTTGAGTATAATAGCTATTCAAGCTATAGAATATCACGCTATAAAGCTCCCTTCATAGTTAATTCCTCCACCACCACTGACCAGACCAGTGTTAATCTGCTTTCTGTCTATAGTTTTTTTTTTTTTTGAAAATGTGGCTAGAAGCTTACTACACTGCTTATTCTGTACCTTGTTTTTTTTCTTTCTTCACTTAGTACATAATTTGAATATCTTAACATTAGACCATAGAACTCTTGATAACTGTCTTTTGACAACTTCATAGTTTTGCATTGTTTGAACTGTCATTTAGTTAATCACTCTTCAACTGGCTTACATTTGTGTTACCTCTAGTTTTTTCCTGTTGTAAACAGTATTACCACAAGCATTCTCAAAATAGAGCTCTGAACTGTGAGATAAATTCCTCGATGCAAAAAAACACATACTCTTGGCTATAATCTTACACTGCCTCCCTATGGCAGAGAAGAATGCCAGGGGATATAGACCATGTGTTTTAACTACAGTTGTGCTATAGCAGGCCACTCTCCAAGGTATATTAAATAGTGAGAGGTTGCTGGCAGTTTTTTTTTTTTTCTTTTTTGCTGGCCGTTTTTAATCCTCATGGCTGGAAGTGGGATTAGCAGAGACATCTATGTACCTCACTTATTAGTTTGGGGGATCTGATCTAGGGTAACTTTTATATGTGGTGTTTGTTCTTACTAAGCAACTGGAATTTATGTTCTTTCACAGTTTTTCTCTGACTCTAATTGATGCTCTGGACACCTTGCTGGTAAGTTTCTCATCCATTCTTGTTCCTCTCCACCATTGCATAATCAGCATCCTTCCTCTTTGGGTCACTCAACTGCAGATGAAAAGTGAGTTCTTCACCTAGGCTTTTTATTTTCATCTCATGATTCTTAAATATAAGATTATGGTTGCAGTTTAAGGAAAATGATGAATTCCAACTTATTCAGATTCATTTATTCAGCAGATGTTTTCAGAGGACCTATTATAAACATAGAACTGTGTTAGTAGGCTCATCTCATTCTGTGGAGAATATATAGACACTGATATTCTGCTTTTTTCAGAGGCCTTTTTTTTTTTTTTAAAAAAAAAAAAGATTTATTTATTCACACAGAACTGGGGTACAGGCCAAAGATGCCTGGGGTGAGAGGATTCACCAGAGACAGAGTGGGGAGCAGAACAGGCAGATTGATAAAAGTACACTGCTGAGGGAAGCAGCAGGCGGGTCAGGAAAGGTTTGCCACGCCATGTGGATCTCCTCTGGGGCAGATGGGGATGGAACTCATGTGGAAGTGGCTTAAGCTTCTTAGTGCTCTGCTTTAACCTGCTGCACCACCAGGGAAGGCCCTGCCTTCTTTTTTTTTAAGTTAATTTTTGAGGTAATGTTGATCTACAACACTGTATATGTGACTTAAATGCAAATCTCTGCAAAAGTGTGTTATCACATCCACCACTGTAAGGCACTAATCTTCCACCATGGTCCATTGAGCTTCCTCCCCATTTTAAGGGTTTACGTTTTAATGGACATGCTCAGTAATAAAAACAATGATGGTAACTAGTTAGTGTAGGACTTTAAGCACTTTATATGTATCTTCTTGTTGAATTCCTCTGACAACTCCATGGAGTAAGTATTCTTATGCCTTACAGCTGAGAATTCTGATGCTTAGAAAGGTAAAATGACTTGATTAGGGTATATGGCTTTTAAATGGCAGAACTAAAACTTGAAGTCAGTTTTGTCTGACTCCAAGCCTTAGCATTCATCCTTAAAGAGACAATAGTAGAAATGTAACAACTTTCCTCCTGTGTCACTATTTCTGCTTCTCTGCTGCCTCTTCTCATTTTTATGTATTGTTAATATTTTCGTAAATACTATGTATTATGTAAATTGTGATCACTGTGTAGACATGATTTAGTTTGTTTTTATTTTTGCTCAGTTTTTGTATACTTATTCACCCTTCAGATATTGAGTGAGGGTCAGCTTTATATTAAGCATAGTGCTAATCTCTGGTTTTGCAATGGTAAGTTTAAGTAGACATGATCCCTATATTACTGGAGTTCATGATTTTAGTAAAGGAAAATAATCCTAAAGAATGTGTAGTTGCAAATTGAGGTCAGTGCTCTATAGAAAAAGAACATGATTCTGTGAGTGGTTATGAAAAAGGAATCTGCTCTAGACTGAGGGTGTCAGGGAGGGTATCCTAAGGCAATGAAATGACACTTAGGTGGGAATCTGAAGTAGAACCTGCAAGTGTTGGTGAGAAAAATGGAGTGGGGGAGGGAAAAAAGTCTGTTCAGAGAGCTGGTGGCCGAGGAGAACATGGCAAGTGTAGTGAATTAAAGGAAGGTTAGTATGTCTGGGATGCAGAGAAGGAAAAGAAGCAATGTGAATTTAAAGGGATATATAGAAAGCAGCTGATAGAAGACCTTAATACAGTCTTAGGGGTATTGATCTGAACTTTGAGAACCATGGGAAAAGTCACTGAAATTTCCTAAGTAGAGGGCAGGAAATGATGAAATTTCTGTTTTAAGATCATTGGCTGCAAAGTGGATAAGGCTTAATGTAATCATTCAAATAACAGTAAGTAATTGCTTTATGGACTGTGATTGGCATGCTGCAGGAATGAGTGAGGTTCCTGTCCAGGGCAAGATTCCCTTCACATAGAAAGAAAAGATGTCCTAAGAGAGTTGTGTGGATAAAATGTCCTAAAGAGTTGTGTGGAATCTTTTTTTTTTTTTTTTTTTAAAGATTTATTTATTTGTGTATACAGAACTGGGGTACAGGCCAGAGGCTCAGGGGCGGTGAGAGGCTTCACCAGAGACAGAGTGGGGAGCAGAACAGGCAGATCGATGAAGTACACTGCTAAGGGGAGCAGCGGGCGGGTCAGGAGAGGTCTGCCGCGCCATGTGGTCACCTCCGGGGCAGGCGGGAATCGAACTCATGCGGAAGCGGCTTTAGATTCTCAGTGCTGTGCTTTAACCCGCTGCGCCACCAGGGAGGGCCAAGTGTGGAATCTTTTAAAGAAAGAAATTTAATTTCATCTGGAAGACTCAGAAGTTCTTAGAGAAGGTAAAGAAGGTAACGATTAAAGATAAGTTGAATTTGGAGATGGAAAACCGATCTCTGGAAGACAGTGTCCAAAGGCAGGAAATTGGAATGGTGTTGATGTTTTGTTGAAATTGATGAAAATGGATTAGGTGAACTGTGAGAGACATGGTCAGAAAGGTAGGTTGGGTCCAAATCATAGAGGGCCCTGCAGGCTGTGATCATCAGGATTGTTTTTTTTTTTTTTTTTTTTTTTAAAGATTTATTTATTCATACAGAACTGGGGTACAGGCCAGAGGCTCAGGGGCGGTGAGAGGCTTCACCAGAGACAGAGTGGGGAGCAGAACAGGCAGATCGATTGAAATACACTGCTGAGGGGAGCAGCGGGCGGGTCAGGAGAGGTCTGCCGCGCCATGTGGTCACCTCCGGGGCAGGCGGGAATCGAACTCATGCGGAAGTGGCTTCAGATTCTCAGTGCTGTGCTTTAACCCGCTGCGCCACCAGGGAGGGCCCATCAGGATTGTTTTGGTTACAAGTGACAGGGACCCAATCCAAATCAGTTTAGACAAGAAGGAAATTTATGAGTCAGGTAAATAAAAAGTACAGGTAAAGTTTGCCTTCAGACCCAGTTGGATTCAGACATACAAACTATAATCAGTTTCTATCTTTCCTCTGCCTGTGCCAGCTATGTTCTCAGACTCTCCGTCAGTTAGTCTACAGTAGTTCAGACTTATATCCTATTCATTAGTAACCTGTGTATGGAACAAATCAGCCATTTTCCATTAATTCCAGGGACTGGGTTGTGCTGATCCTCTGTGGGTCATACACCTAACCCTGAAGTAATCCCTTGGCCAAAGGACTTACAGTGTGTTGGCTGGTCCAGGTCAGGTGTCCATTCTTGCAGCTAAGGGATTGGTCAGCCTCTCCCAAATTACAGGAGTGACAGTGAAAGAAGGGTGTGTCCTCAAAGGAAAATTGGTATGGTATTATCAGAATAAAAGGTATCAGAATTGCTTTTGGCAGAATTTCCAGCCTCGACAGTGGGAGGCAAGAGGGCAGTGATCAAGAATTAGTGTTTGGCCAACCAAGCTGTCATGTTTTCCACAGGTGGAAGAATGTGACCAAAGAAGGTTCAACCCAATAGATTTGTGCTGTAAAGGTCACACTAAGATTTTTTTTTTTAAAGATTTATTTCTTTATGCATTCAGAACTGCTGAGGGGGAGCAGTGGGTGGCAGGAGAGGTCTGCCACACCATGTGGGTCACCCCCCTAGCTGGTGCTTGAACTTGTGCTGTAGTGGCTGCAAGTAGCTTCATAGTGCTGTGTTTTAACCCATTGTGTGACCAGGGAGGGCCACACTAAGATTTTCTTATGTGGTCTTTGGTCTTTATAGTTTCTTTTTGAGTGGGTACATGATGACTCTTGAATTAGTATCTAAGAACTTACCTAACCAGTCTCTTGATGTTGGCTCTCAGTGTTTTTTCCTCCCGTCACCAGTTGTAGGGTAGAAACTATAGTTCTTAAGTTGAATGAGGGAGGGCCACCTCAACATAGGCACCAATATTGTGAATCCAGCATTTTTCAGGGCCCGAGAGACCCTTACTGCCTGTCTTGCTTTCCTTCCAGATTTTGGGGAATGTAACTGAATTCCAAAGAGTGGTTGAAGTGCTCCAGGACAATGTGGACTTTGACATTGATGTGAATGCCTCTGTGTTTGAAACCAACATCCGAGGTGAGGGCTGCTTTCTAGGACTTCTGGAAGAAAAAAGAAGTGTGGAAGTTTTGTTTCTGTGTCAACCAAGAGGAGGTAGATAGGATGATATAGGCAAACCCTGCCAGGACAGTTGGCCAAAATCAATGCCTCAGAGCCCTTCTTCCCTCCTCTAAGGTAGGGAATAGGGAGGTCTTGAGATCTCGTATCATTTTCAGACATGAGAATAAGCCAGGGGACTGAGAAACGAGTGGAAGAAATATGCTGGAATTACTCATGTACTCAGCATATATTTGATGTTAGGCAAACAACTATGAACAAGAAATGTACTAGGGAGTTTATTGGTTGGTTAGGAGACCCCTAACAATAGAACTTCCAGAAAGTTTAATAGAATTGTTTACTAAGATGTAAATATTTTATATCTTTATTATCCAACATGGTAGCCAGTAGCCACATGTGACTGACTACTGAACATTTGAAATGTATCTACTGCAACTGAAGGACTGAAATTTTAATTTAACTTAAATTTAACAAATTAAATTTAAATAGTGGCATGTGGTTAGTGATTATTATATCACACAGTGCAAGTCTGGAGAATTAGTTTCCATACCTGGTTGCCCATCAAAAGGTCAAATGTGAGAAGGAGGGAGAGGGGTCAGGACAGGAGAGGGAAGAGCTCAAGGGACTGAGCAGTGGTGCATCACAGGTGCTGTGAAGGTGAGAGAACTACAGGGACTACACCTGAGGGGAAAATTAAATACTGCCTCCAAATTAACAACTTTATAAGAAAATAAATATTAAAAAAAAGTTCAGAAGTCTGGGTTCCACTCTAAATCAATGAATTGGATTGTCTGAGTTGGAGCTTTGTAAGTTTCACAGTGTACCATTATGTGGGATAAAGGAGATCTTTTAAGGGGCCAGTTCTAGCCCCTTCCCATTGAGCCACCCAAGCAGCAATTAGGTTTAATTTGCATGAGGGAAAGACTGCGCCCTGGTGCTCTGACTCTTACCTTTTGTGCCATCTGCAGTGGTAGGAGGACTTCTCTCTGCTCACCTGCTTTCAAAGAAGGCTGGGGTGGAGGTGGAGGCTGGATGGCCCTGCTCTGGACCTCTCTTGAGAATGGCTGAGGAGGCAGCCCGTAAACTCCTCCCAGGTAAGACCGATGTTGAGATGGGGGAGAGCTGAATTTCATCAGTCAGTGGAGTGAATGTGGCAGTGCTGAATTATTTTCTTGTTGTTTTTACCCAAATGCTTGGCTTTTCTACCTCTAAGAAAGAAATTTCGAGAGTTCTGTGCATTTTGGGAATTTATTGGGACCCTGGTCCCAGATGGATGAGCTGAGTCTGTTACTGTTTGCAGGGGAGGATGGGTAGAAGGTCCTCAACCTTTTTCTGTGTGAGCCCCACATGCACTTAGGGTCACATGCTGATGGAATAAAAGGCTTCCAGAGAAGAGTGTTAGGTGTCCCGGGCTCTAGACTGAATTGTGCAAAGCAATGTCTTAGCCAAACCACTCATCTCTGTAAGATGGGAATCATAATATCTGCCTTTCTGCCACATTGGGTTTTTGGGAAGTTAAAATGAACTCAGAAAGGAATAAGTGCTTGGGAACTTTAAACATCATTGAAATGAGAAGGACTTGTTTTGTAGCTAAGCAGTATTCAGGGCTGCAGGCCAAGGCCTTGTGTCTGTATGTTTGTCTGATGGGGAATTAACCCTGGTCTCAGCAACATCAGCTGGACACTGTGTTCTCTTCAGGGTGTGGTTGAGGCTCTGAGGGCTGTTCACACCCAAACACGTCACGGTTTGCTTTTCACCAGGTTCCCAGTCTTTTCGCTTCTCCCTTTCACACTATAGTTCCCTATCATCCTTGGGGAAGAGCTGAGGAGGCTGAGCAAACTGGGTTCAGGTCTTGTTCCTGGCTCATGGTTCGTGGTCTGAGTGTCTTTGTAAACACTGTGTCTTGTGTGGTTCCTCTAGAGAAAAATCTGCCTGGTTGTTCCCTTACCCCTGTTTTTTTTGTTCCTTATTTAAGAAAATTTTGTCTGGAAAAAAACACATGTTGAAAAGTATCTACCATCCAGGTCAAGAAACAGTATTTTGTCACTCCTCCCCCTCTTAACTCTGCCTGACTTTGGACGCTTCTTGGCTGTGGTTTACTTTCTCCTTTCTAGTCTACATGTGCTTGCCATGTAGCAAGTTTGTCATCTGCAGCAAATTTCTGGACTTTATCATTCTTGGAAGTTTTGACAACTTTGTTCACAGTTTTGTGACGCACAGGCTGCTCTGGGGTTGTTTGACCCTTTGGCCTGGAGAGGAAACTTCTGCTTCTGGTTGAGTATTTAGTTCCTTGCCTTGGATTGGAAGGTACTGGGGTGAACAGGGACTGAACTCAGGATGTAAAGGAGAAGGTGTGAGACAGTCATTTCCACCCCAGTTCAATTTGGCTTATTGTATGTGACTTTTCCTATCTGTAAATTTGATGAAATTAATTGTTTGGTGGGTTTTTTTTTTGTCATTAAAAAACAAACAAACCAACCAATTTAGCCTATAAATGCTTTATTTTAATTTTTAATGTGGTTGAATTAGTTTACAGTGCTGTGTAGGTGCCAAGATTACAGTTGTTTTTTTTTTTTTTTTGCCATGTCTGCCACCAAATGTCCATTTATAGTCCACCACCAACCAGTTACTATTCTACCTTCCTCCCCGACCCCCTCCCTTCTTTCCCCCTGATGACCATCATTATGTTGTCAAAATCTAAGGGTTTCTTTCTGTTTTCTTTATATTCCATAGATGAGTGGTATTACATAATATCTGTCTTTTTTCTGCTGACTTGTTTCACTTAGCATAATTCCCTCAAGGTCCATCCCTGTTGTAGCAAATGGAAATATTTCATCATTTTTATGCCTTTCTATATCTATATAGATAGATAGATGAGGTGTATATCTGGCATCTTTATGCAGTTATCAGGCATTGAACACTCCAATTCTTTTTTTTTAATTAAAAAATTATTTCTATATATTTTAAGTGAGAGGAATTGAAGAAATGAGGGAGGAGCTCAGGGGATTGTGATGATGGACAATTAGATTCTTTCTATTCTATTTCTAATATTTTGAAAAACTTCAACATTGTCGGTGCCACATTCTCACCAACAATACATGAGATTTCCTTTTTCTCTACATTCTCGCCATGGTTTATTATTTCTTAGCTTTTTTGGTAACAGCCATTCTAACCAGTGTGAAGTAAAATTGCATTATGGTTTTGACTTGCTTTTCCCTCAGTGATGTGATATGGAGCATTTTTTCATGTGTCTGTTGGCCATCTGTGTATCTTCTTTGGTGAAATGTCTGTTTAAATCCTCTGCCCATTAGGTGGTATAGTTTTTGTTTTTGTTTTTGAGTTGTAAAAGTTTATATATTTTGGATATTAGCCTCTTGTCTACAGCTATCTTTTACCATTCTAAAATTTTTATTTAAAGCAAGGATGTCAAACTGGCTCCTCTGGGACTATAGAAGATCTGCAGACATGTTTCACTTGGTCAGAATGGTGTTTGAGAAAGTAATTGAATGGCTTCTAATGAGGTGTGCTCTTCAGTATGCCACAAGCTCCATCATTCCCTATAGCTTCAATACACCTGCTTCAGACTTAAGTTATTTGTCTGGCCTCTGAATGCAGAGTGCAAAATAAGTAAAAGCAGAGCAGCTCTTAGCTAAAGTGAATGTGTATGGGATGTAATAACATAGAGTGTTTTTCTCCTCATCACAGGCAAGAAGAGCCTGAGGGCCAGGTAGAGCAGTGTTTGACAGCAGCTGTGTTAGGTGCTCACTGAGGGCCTTCCAGATGTGACATTTATCCTGCTAGGTTCAGTCTCTAGCAGATCACCCAGGAGATAAAAAGGCCTTAGGTTTTGGGCCTGTGTTCAACTGTCCTTATCTCCCTGCTTTTGAGGTTATAACTTCATAATTGTTCAGCTTTTCAGACCCCCACTGGCATGCCATATGGAACAGTGAACCTGCTTCATGGCGTGAACCCAGGAGAGACCCCTGTCACCTGTACGGCAGGGATTGGGACCTTCATTGTGGAATTTGCCACCCTGAGCAGCCTCACTGGTGACCCTGTGTTTGAAGACGTGGCCAGAGTGGCCCTGATGCGCCTTTGGGAGAGCCGTTCAGATATTGGGCTGGTAGGTCTGCTGCCACCCTTCCTGTCTGAGTCAGGTCAGCCTACTTACGAGTCTCTGGGCTCTGAGCAACAAGTTACAGTTCAGCCAAGGGAAACTTAGGGTGATCTCAGGAGTGAGCCAGGACTTAGACTCAGGATACTGAAAGTAGATGTAGCCTCCAATTTGAAGTTGACACAGAGAAGAAAAGAGCATACAGGTACATTCTCTGGCAGAGAAAAGGGAATGTGTTATGCTTTGACTCCTTGAGCATCTCTGATTTCTAGTGAGTAGGTCATATGCCTTGCGCCTTTGACTCACCTAGTGACCTTCCTTCTGTCATCAGTTCATCTGTCCCTTTTTTTTTTTTTATACCATCTATTTGTGTTTCTAAAACATGTTTTTTAGAGTACTAGTTCTGAGAGATGTTGAATGACTGTCATAAAATTATGATTTCTAATCTATTAAGTTTGGAAAATACTACGCACAGTATACTTTTTTAGAGAGTCAGTAATGAACATGAACAGGCTAAAAGTTATGAAATCCTCTAGTAAATAAATCTATTAAAATTTGTTTAACTCATTTCCCAAATATGTTTGACCCCAAAACTTCCCTCTCCTCTTAAGTACCTTATTAATCCATGGAAATTTAGCACACTTTGGACTAGGTGATCTCTAGGTTTCAGCTCTTAACTGGATGATTCAGTGAAACTAACAGTAATTGAGCCGAATCTGGACAGGAAATAGCAGTAGATTTAGTCAGAACTGGGTTTGACTCCTCGCCTTGCTGCATTGAAACTGTAACTCTGGGCAAGTTACTCAGCCTTTCTGATCTCAGTTACTTCAGCAGTGACACTGATGTATTAATATCTCCTTGTTAAGTCATCATGACTTTTATAAAAGTCTGAAAGTGATTCAGGTGAGGCACACTTTATGCACAGTTTGGTTCAAACTGTGAATGTTTCAGCTTGAAAAGTGAAACATTTATGGACCACCCCCCTTGCCTGCCTCCCTTCCCTCTTCCAAGCCTGGAGTTTTCAGACCCACCTTCCAGATTAACTGCATATAGTCCTTACTTATCTGAGGGTCTGTTCTTGAACCCAAACTCACACAGAACAGTTGGTTATTTCTTTTGAGTACCAGCTGAAGTCATTAACTTCCATGAGTGTCTAAGTTAAATGAAAAACATAGCTCTTCATTTAAATCTTTTAAAATGCATATTTATAAAAGTCTTCTATGGACACATAGTTCACAAGTCAAAGGATACAAAAGTATGCAGTGACATCAGTGATCCCTGACCCCCCAGTTATGCAGTTCCTCTTTTTATCAGTTTCTTGGGTGCCATTCCCGAGTTAATTTGTGGAATTACATAAAAGTATGTCTTGGAGCTTTTATGCCTTGGAGCCACATGCACTGTGGTGAGAAATCTCAGACAAATTGTGGGAACAACAAGTTCTCATCTCCCAGTTCACACTCTTTAGGCAGGATATAAGTACCTTAAATCATTGTTCTTTTGTATTTTTGCTCAGCATGTATAATTAAGTCCTCATAAACATATACAAATGCATTTCCAGTGTACAGACATGCAGGAGAGCTGCACTGATCCTGCCTTGCCCCCTAGCCCTGTGTTTAGATAGCCCCAAGAAGTACTGGAGATGCCTGTCTTGCACCTTATGAGGCACTGAGGTGGGGGGAGATCCCTGTCTCATCTTGAGGCCTTCCTTGGGACATGTGTCTCTCTCCCAGGTCGGCAACCACATTGACGTGCTCACTGGCAAGTGGGTGGCCCAGGATGCAGGCATCGGGGCTGGCGTGGACTCCTACTTTGAGTACCTGGTGAAAGGAGCCATCCTACTTCAGGATAAGAAGCTTATGGCCATGTTTCTAGGTAAAAAAGGGTAGGGTAAGGGGGCCTTCCCATGATTTTTCCTGTTGACATATGGTTTATTTATAAACTTTCATTTTTTCCCAAATACCTACAGAGAATCATAATGAGCATGAACAGGCTAACAGTTATGAAATCCTCTGGTAAATAAATTCTATTTAACTTTGCTTAATTCAACATTTCCCAAATATGTTTCACTACAGAACTTCCCTCCTAATTAAATCTTATTAGTCTGCATTCAAAGCTACCAAGGACTTACATTCCCACTTGATGCCTACTACACTTCATGCCATCTTGTAGGAGCCAGCTGAACCATGCTGCACTCTCTGTTCACGTGGCATATGGAATTTACTGGATTTCTCATCTCCTGGCCATTGCTTATAATGTTTCCTTTGCCTGGAATGCCTTTTTTTCCCTTTCTGTTTTCATGGGTCCAAATTCATTTCACCTTTCAAGGCCCAACTTAAATGTCATCTTGGCTGGGAAGTAGCTTGACCCTTTCTTAGCATGTAGGGCCTTTACCCTCTTTCTTTCAGTTAGCTGTCACCCATAGTGAGAACAGTATAATTGACAGCAGCATCCATGCCTTATTTGTCATTGTATTTCCCATGATGCTTAGCATAAAGAAGGTAGTAGGTGAATGCCTATTGAATAAAAACATTTTACCCGACAGGCCCATAGACACTAGCAGTAGTAGTATTAAGGGTGCTCTCAAATAGTGCTGTAAGAAAGGAATGAAGTAGTTTGTGTTCAGTGCTTGGCATAGCACTTGACACTTTTAAAGTGTATTTGGAACTTTAATAATATTGATTGTGTACATTTGTTAAGAACTATCCTAATATGGGGCCCTCTCTGGTGGTGCACCAGGTAAAGCACAGCACAATGAAGCTAGCTGCAGCTGCCTCAGCTAGAGTTCGAGCCCCAGCCGGGGAGGTGACCCTCATGGCGCAGCAGACTTCCCCTGTCTCGCCCGCTACTCCCCTCAGCAGTGTACTTCATCAGTCTGCCTGTTCTGCTCCCCAGTCTAACTCTGGTGAATCCTCTCACTGCCCCTGCACCTCTGGCCTGTACCCTACTTCTGTATATATAAATAAGTAAATCTTAAAAAAAAAAAAAAGCCATCCTAATATTGGGGATTCTGCAATGAGCAAAACAAAGTCCTGGCCTTCATGGGTTTATAATCTAAATGGTAGGGGACAAGGTGTAAGTTCAAGTTCTTGCTAGAATGTAAACTCTCTGAGAATTTGATATCTGTCCTGTTCCAGGCTTCCTGGCATCTAGTAGGTCAGTATCCAAAATCATTTGAGTGATTAAATGACTAGACAATTCTGTGAGATATATAAGATTACTTTCCCCACTTTACAGATAATGAGACCAATACTTAAGAGGGGAAAAACTTGCCCAAGGTCACAGCTAGCAAGTAGTAAAAAAGGAGCTGGAATTTGAGCCTGGAAGTTTGACTCTAGAACCAATGCTCCTTCCTCCACACCTCATTTTATCCCATTCTGCTTTGAGGTTGGGCCATTGTGATTTTTGAAAAGTATAGGCCCATACTTCTATTGTCCAGGTATGCTTGTTGTCTCCCTAATCACTGATGTGTCCATTATCCCATCTCCTCTGCAGAATATAACAAAGCCATTCGGAATTACACCCGCTTTGATGACTGGTACCTGTGGGTGCAGATGTATAAGGGGACTGTGTCCATGCCGGTCTTTCAGTCTTTGGAAGCCTACTGGCCTGGTCTTCAGGTAGGAGTGATACATTCTTCTATGGAAATGGCAAAGAAAACACTTTCTACTTTTAGTCAAGCATAAGTCAAATAGCGTTAAGTGTATGCCACATAAGCTACATTAATTAACTTAAGTACTTATTTTATGGGGATTGCTTAGGGCTGAAAGAGTTTTAGAATGCATCAGGGAATTTAAGATTCTGCCAGACTAAATTTCCAAGGGGCTTTAAGGTGTTAGGAACTGAACTGCTCTGGAATGTTGTACACTTAAAATACAGCAGACAGTGTCTTTGGCAATAAACAACTGTTTATTCACTTGGCATTTTTGTCAATCTCCCTATTCTTGACGGTAGATGTGAGAAGGAGTGGAAGCTGGGGCTGCTCTGCCTGCCATCATTTCTTTTCCATTATGCTGTCAGAATTCTAGCTGGAAGGGATTTAGACCCCCCTAATGTACCGCTGCCTTTATAAGTACTCTTATAAACTAATTTTTTTTTTTAATTTTAAGGCAAGATAATAATGTGGATGGTGGTAAAGTATGGAAAAGAATTCAGTGAAAACTCCCAGATAGTCTTCTATGCAGCTTTTCAGGACTCCACATATATACATACATGTATACTTATGTGTGTGTATATATATGGACAGAGGGGAAAGTAGATAGATAGGATAGATAGATATGCACATAAATAAGGAGCTGGAGATGGAAGGAGTTTGATTATTGCAATATCATGTTATTTGAATCTTTGAGTTAATGTCTTGAACCATGTAGAATTGCCAACATTCAATCATTTTTGACCTATAAAGATGGCAGTATTATATGGTTCATTCTTATAGAAAAATAAATGTATGATCTGTCATTGAAAATTATTGTTATGCCCTCTCTGTTAACAATTTGACCAGTCCACTTTCCATTTTTTAGAAAAAGAACTGGAAACTATCTGATTTATTACTGAGTGCTTAGAGTCATTCATTTTTCTTAATAGTATTTTAAATTTAACTGCGTTTGATGCTTAGGATGTTTTTTATACAGTAAGTTTAGAGATTGGTAGGTAGACACCTTGTTTTTTGGAAGATGAGAGAAGGACCATTGTGAAAGAGAGAGTGAGAATGGATAACCTACCTTTGTGTTCCAAGGCAGGTTCATTTTTGGAAAGTTGAGTAACTGGAAAGCTATTTCTTTAAGACTATTTGTGACTACCTTCCTCTTGGAAAATCTTGTTCAACCCAACCATTTTTAACTGATCATACCTTTTAACTTTGCATGATTCCATTTCTGTGCACATTTTCCAATAAAATAATGCAAGGGAAAATGATGCAACCTATATATAAATATTCCTAGCAGCAAGATTTATGACAAGGAAAAAAGTGATCAAAGTGCCCCATAATGGAGAAGAAAAACCAATAATTTTATTTTCATGGACTGGATTATCATACCACAAATTGAACTTAATGAAAATTGAAAACATTTGTGCTTCAAAGGACATGCTGGGCCCATCATGGTTCCATTACACCACTCTACTAACTCCTTCTTCATAGGACAAAATGAAGAAGTAAAAATACCATACCACCTACAGAATGGTGTACTAGGTTAACTGTACTACAGGGGAATTCCTGTACTTCCAAAATACTAATAATATTGTACACCCTTATACTTCAATTAAAAATTTAACAAACAAAAATCATATATATGATAAGGACCTAGTATCTGGAATATATCAAGAACACTTAGCACTCAGTTGTCAAAATGCAAATAACACAACTTAAAAATGGGCAAAGGGGGCCCTCCCTGGTGGTGCAGCGGGTTAAAGCACAGCACTGAGAATCTAAAGCCACTTCCGCATGAGTTCGATTCCCGCCTGCCCCGGAGGTGACCACATGGTGTGGCAGACCTCTCCTGACCCACCCGCTGCTCCCCTCAGCAGTGTTCTTCGTAGGTCTGCCTGTTCTGCTCCCCACTCTGTCTCTGGTGAAGCCTCTCACCGCCCCTGAGCCTCTGGCCTGTACCCCAGTTCTGTATGTACAAATAAATCTTTAAAAAAAAAATGGGCAAAGGATTTGAATACATTTTCCTCCAAAGAAGATATACAGACTGTAGTAAATACATAAAAATATGTTCAACAGCATTAGTGACTAGGAAAATAAAAGTCAAAATGATAATAAAATACACACTAGGATGGTTACAATAAAAAAGATAGGCAATAACAATAGTGATATAAATAGAAACTAGAACCCTCTTCATTGCTGATGGGAATATAAAATGCTGCAGTTTCTTTGGAAAACAGCTTAGCAGTTACTCAAAAAGTTCAACATAAAGTTACCATATGACCTAATAATTGCACTCTTAGGTGTATGTCTATGAAACATTTTTCCACACACAAACTTATACTTGTTCATAGCAATATTATTCATAATAGTACGAAAGTGGGAATAGGATAGATGTCCTTTAACTGATGAATGGATAAACAAAATGTGGTATATGATGGAATCTTACTTGATGATAAACAGGAATGAAGTACCATTTTACAATAAAACATAGATTAACCTTGAAAATATTTCAGATGATAGAAGATAGTCACAAAAGACCACATGCTTTATGATTCCACTTAAATGAAATGTCCAGAATAGACAAATCCATAAAAACAGAAAAAAAAAAATTGGTATGGACAGGAACGGGGGGAAATAGTCACTACCAATGGGTACAGGTTTTTGGGGGGGAATGATAAAAATATTCTGGAATTCATTAGTAGTAATGGCTATGTAACTGAACATACTGAAACCCATTGAATTTGACACTTTAAAATGGTGAATATTATGATATCTAAATTATAACTCAAATTATGAAAAGAAAATGACCACACTTCAGGAAAGGAAAAGGTCATTTGATGGGAGGTCAGCTCTGACCAGACCTTGAGAGCCACAGTGAAGTATCCTGACTTTATACTCTGCCCCAAAGAAAGCCCTGAGGTCTGGTCATGAAGAAAAGTCATTTCCTATGGCTACTATGGGGAAAGTGGACAGGAGAGTGGCAAGAGGACAATTAGTGGACCAGGGAAAAGGCCTTTGAGGTCAACCCAATGTGAGATGCTGGTGACCTGAACAGGTGGTGGCTCTGGAAATAAAAAGAGAACACCTTGCTGTTTTAGAGAGGGAATTGATAGAAGTTGCTGATGGAAAGGTTGTGGGATGGGGAGAAGTGGGAGTAAAGAATGACAGCCAGGTTTCTGGCTAGAGTAACTGGGTGGATGGAGATGCCATTTTCTAGGAAGAAAGAGAAATGTGAGTAGGGAGGCGACTTTGTGGGAAAGCAAAGGAACCAAGAATTTTGTTTGGGAAATGTCAAGTTCTCTCCATGAGACACATCCAACTGAAGATGTCAAGAAGGTCAGTTGTTTCCTTGTGAGCTTACATTAATATTACTAGCTGCCTAGCAACAGCTAGTAAATTCACAAAGGTATTTATCCTTATGTCCCAGAAGTCCTAATTCTATAAATTTATCTCACAGATACACTTTTGTATGTTTGAAGTGACATTTGTATAGGGTTATTGCAGTGGTAGCTTATAAAAAAAATGGAACCAATCCAGTAGCTATTAATAGGAAACTATAAATGTTGAGGAATGTGATAAGGGTTATTTGCAAATAATTTGATTGAATATCTTAAAAACAGTTAAAGAGAGCCAATTCAGGCTTATGCTACTGGTGAGAAGTGTTGTCTGGTTTATTATGAGTAATTGAATATTCTTATCTATACACCAAATCCAACCAAGCAGAAACTTTAGTATTCAAATAACAACAAAAACCTTTACAATGGTTTTTACACTGTAATTGTTCAATTACAAGAATTCATTGCAATTCTTGAAATGTACATGTAAGAAGAATTCAAGATTTATTGGATAAAAGTTGTGATGTATAATATCTGAATAAGTGAATAGAAAGATCAATTTCATGAATAAAAAAATAGGAAACTAATTGTGGTTCAGGCAATGGAATGCTATGTAACTATATATATAACTGAGAGGAGGGATCTCTTTATATACTTATATGGAAAAATCAAGCCATATTGTTCATTGAAAGAAGGAAATTAAAGTGGGGAAAGAACACAGTGGACTGGGGTGGTGCACTCTGAGTGCTTAGTTGGTGGGGTCACAGTAATACAACTATACTAAAGGGGGAATCCTGTACTTCCAAAATACTGAAGGTGATATAAACCAACAATACTTCAATAAAATTTTTTTTTTAAAGATTATTTGTGCATACAGAACTGGGGTACAGGCCAAAGGCTCAGGGGCGGTGAGAGGCTTCACCAGAGACAAAGCAGGGAACAGAACAGGCAGATCAACGAAGTACACCGCTGAGGGGAGCAGCGGGCGGGTCAGGAGAGGTCTGCCACGCCATGTGGTCACCTCCGGGGCAGGCGGGGATCGAACTCATGCTGAAGTGGCTTTAGATTCTCAGTGCTGTGCTTTAACCCGATGCGCCACCAGGGAGGGCCCAATAAAATTTTTAAACAAACCAAAAGGAAACTAGAACGTTATATTTAATAAGCTGTGCTGAAAATGGGGGAAATAACATATATGAATACACATTTGCTTATGTTTACAAAGGAGTACAAAATGGTAATTTACTGGGATGTAGGGTGGGAGTAAGAGTACAACCCCCCTTTTTTCTATTAGAATTTTGAATGAGAAGACTGACTGGCTTATTAAAAATCTTAGTATCCAGGCCCTCCCTGGTGGCGCAGTAAGTTAAAGCACTGCACTGAGAAGCTAAAGCCATTTCCGCATGAGTTCGATCCCCGCCTGCCCCGGAGGTGACCACATGGTGTGGCAGACCTCTCCTGACCCGCCCACTGCTCCCCTCAGCAGTGTTCTTCGTAGGTCTGCCTGTTCTGCTCCCCACTCTGTCTCTGGTGAAGCCTCTCGCCACCCCTGAGCCTCTGGCCTGTACCCCAGTTCTGTATGTACAAATAAATAAATCTTTAAAAAAAAAAAAAAAACTTAGTATCCAGCATTTGTTAAACATGTAGAGGCTGGGAAGGGAAGCCAGGGACTTTGCATACAACTGCTTCCCTCACCACAGTGTATGAGATAATTGTATTTTGCATTTTTGAGATGAGGTTCAGAGAAGTTAAGTATTTAGCTTGAGGCCATGCAGTGAGTTAAGAGCAGATCCAGGGTTTGATGGTGCACCTTTTGGCCCCAAAGTCTTTGCTTTTTCTTTTCTTGGGTAGATGCAGGGTTTTGTACAATGGCTCATCATGGCTGGACTCAGCCTTCTAACATCTTCTCTTTCGCAGAGCCTCATTGGGGACATTGACAATGCCATGAGGACTTTCCTTAACTACTACACTGTCTGGAAGCAATTTGGGGGGCTCCCAGAATTCTACAACATTCCTCAGGGTTACACAGTGGAGAAGCGAGAGGGCTACCCACTTCGGCCAGGTAAGCAGCATCTCTGACCCATGGCCAGCCTACAAATTCTGGTTCTCAAACTCCATATTATCTCTGTGAGGCTCCATGCCTTCCAAGTACTTGCACATCCATTTTTTCCCCATCTGATTCTCCCAGTAGCTCTGAGTAGTTTTCCTGTAGGAATCATTTATCCCCCTATTTTCAGTTAAGGAAACAAGCCATTTGGATTAAAATGGCTTCCCCAAAGACTTTATTATGTGTAGGAGTTTGGACTGGAATCCAGGTTTCATCACTAAATTATATGCTTGTTCAAGCTTGGACATGTGAGTAAGAAGGAAAAGGCCAAACTGACTCCTTCTGAGATCCTGTCATTAGGATTTAAAAAGTGACGGACTTCCTGGGTCAGCAGATCAGCTATCTTACGCCTCTGTGGCTTGGAATGTAAGAACTTTGGAATGGACTTCAGAGATGAATCACATCATCTCTTCCACCTCCCCACTGCAGCTCAGAAGTGTAGATACAGATGAGGAAGGGCCTATACACTATAACATTCTTAAATTTCTACTTCTGATCCTCTGATTCACTGCAGGAAAGTTAAACATTGTGAGGAAGGGAATGGAAAAAGGGAGGGAGGAAGGAAGCTTAGTCAGCATACAGTCACCCCCACCCCAAAATAGGTTACTTTCTATTGTTTTAGGTGCTTCATACCTTCCCACCTGAATGCCTCTTAGCTGTGGAACAGGTCTTCTGGTGGCTTCTGTCCCATTTCCTTCCTCCTGAAGCCCTAGTGATTCTTAAAAGAGTTGTGGAGAGGAAGCCAAAGAGGAACTAAAACAGCAGTTGCAAAGAGCAAATTAGTCACTTTTGACTCCTTAGAGGCTGCTGTTCTTGGTGTTTCTCATGCATTTTTTCCCTTTTTAAAAATTTTATAAATACATTTTTTACATTGTTCTCCTTTTGCACATTTTTTCATCTCAGTTGTAATCCCCGTAGATTTCCCACCACCACTTCACCCATGTGCTGTCACCATAGTCCCATGTGCTTTTCCCACCCCAGTTTTGATCTTGTTCCCCTCTCCTCCCCTGTAGAATGTTTCTTGTTAATAGTTGTTAGTTGATGTTCTTTTTTCACTTTATTACAATTACTATATATGTATGTGTGTGTATTTTTTTTTCCTGATCCCTTACACTCCTGCTATAAGTGAAACCATCCAGTATTTTTCTTTTTCTTTCTGGTTTATTTCACTGAGCATGATCTTTTCCAGTTCCATCCATGTTGCCACAAATGGCATGAGTTTATCTTTTTTGATTGCTGAGTAATATTCTGTTGTGTATATGTACCACCTCTCCTTGATCCAGTCATATTTTTGGGCATTTGGATCGATTCTACATCTTCCTTATTGTAAATAGGGCAGCAATAAGCACAGGAGTATTTTTTTTTTCTTAAAAGGAAACCCTCTTAAGGTATATTCAGTGTTATAATAGATAAAATGAAGATCCCATTTGGGATTAAATGTAAGACAGGCTTGGGCAATCTCAGGCTAGGTGGGATCTGAGAGATCATCTAATTGAAATTCTTCTGTAATAAACCTGTCAAGTGGTCATCATCTAGTCTTTGCTCAGTTATTGCCAGTGACAGGGCACTCATTAGGTACAGAGGAAACCTCTTAGGTTTGCAGGACAGACTCACAGGAAGGCAACAGTGGAAAGAAAGTCACCATTGCCAGGAATCCAGGAATGCCTTTGCCAGTCATCCTACCCCAAAATAATAGCAAGTAAGAGATGAAGTGCTGTCCTATTATTAGATAGGCTGGTACCTTACACTCTGGTAAATGTATCAGATTAACAGTATCAGAACACAGAATCTAGCCTGATGGCCTGAGGGTCTGGGCTCAGCTTGGGCCAGCACCCTCTTCTAGGGACTTGGTGAGGTATACAGGAAATGAAAGCAACTGCTGGTATAATTTGGCCATGTGAGAGAAAGAGAACATGAGATGGCTGACTCTGGCACACTGATCCAGCAGCTCCTGAGGGCAGGCCACCCAGGAGTACACTCACTTTTCTTTCTTTGAACAGTGTGTTCACTTATCGACTGCACCGGTCATTGTCTTAGAACATGAGCAGTTGGACTAGCAACTGTCTAGAGGCTCATGGGGTAAAGAGAGGGAGATAGAGGTGAGAACTAGGGAGACAGGCAGAGATCTTTTCTTCAAAAATAAGAAGACAAATAGTTTGCAGTAATCAATCAAATGAAAGGAGAGTGCTAAGCAACAGAAGGAAATCAGGAAAGAGAGGCTCAGGAGAGATAGGAGTAGTGTGGGGAGAGGATTTCTTTCCTCTCTAAGAAAAGGCAGGAAAAATGGGGGGGGGGAGCGGAAAAATGTGAGCTGTAGCGATACCTATGGTGGGATGGGGGTGGGGGAGCAGATCTCTGTAGACCTAAAGTCTCTCCAGATAGCTAAGCAGTAAACACATTTTCCTGTGTTTCTTGTCTCCAGAATAAATACTTTCATCTGAACCAACTCCAAAAGCTATATTGACATATTAGAAATGGCCTCATAATGACAGGCTCATGTTCTTTTAGGTTCTAGGATTAAATTAAACTGGGAGTAACAGGGTAAAAAAGAAGGCTTAATTAAGTTAGAGATTGATTTCTCTTTCATGTCCTGGCCTCTTACGGCACTCTGTGGCATTTAATCCTTCACCTACTGTTGAGAATAGTTACTAATCTTGGTAGCCAAGTGCTTGGTTAAAGTTGGGGATTCTGTTACTAAAGAAGAAGGAGGGAATAGATATTGGAAGATAACAGCAGCCATAGTCTACCATCTTCCCTACCCAAGAGTCTCCCTGCCTGTCTCCCTTGGGATGGGAGTCCATGGGCCAGTTTTAATGTGGTCTCTACTAAGCTTCAGCCTTCAGGTTTATTGGCTCAGAAAACTCAATATTGAATGAGTTGTCCCATGTTCCTCTTAGGTGGGGCCTTTGGACAACATGTGGAGGGGAGGAGTTTCTCACCACCCCTAGTACATCCTGACACTTCTTTCCTCAGCCTCCGGATGAAAAAGATCTCTTTTTTACTTGTAGAACTCATCGAGAGTGCCATGTATCTCTACCGTGCAACCGGGGATCCCACCCTCTTAGAACTTGGAAGAGATGCTGTGGAATCCATTGAAAAGATCAGCAAGGTGGAGTGTGGATTTGCAACAGTAAGTGTTTCCATAGGTCTAAGAACTAGGAAATGTCTAAGTAACCTCCTTAAGGTTGGAAAATTGGGAGTTCTGGATTATCAGCCCTAGTAGGGACCTTAGAAATACATGTAATGGCTTTATTTTAGACATGGGGAGACTAAGAACAGAGAAGCATAGAGTCTTGCTGAAGGTCACGTAGCTAATAGAAGTAGACCTCAGATTAGTTCCTGGGGGTCTTGACCCCATGCCTTGGCATTCTTCCTGTATCAGAGATCTTTTCAGATGTCTGAATGGGCTACTTTGCACTAGTGAGTTTCGTAGACCTATAAAATGATCTCTAGAAGGGAAATACAAGTTCCATTGTCCAGTATTCAAACCTGGAGAGCCTTAAGGAAATAGTCCCTTTTATTCTCAACAAATGTTTATTCAGGGTCAAGCACTGTGCTAGGTCAGAAGGTTAAAACACTGAAGAAGTACCAAGCCCCTGAGCTGACATTTTAGTAGGAAAAACAATGAATGTGTTTCTGGCAGAAAGAAGAAGGTTAATGTGACTGGAGTGGCGTGATCAAGGAAGTAGAAAGAGAGAAAGTCCTAGGGTGAGCAGGGACTGCTCATGTTGGGCTTTGTATAAGCCATGGGAAAGAATTTGGATTTTATTTGGCTTGGAATGAGCAGCTTTGTAGGATTTACAGCATGATCTGATCTGTATTTTAGAAAGAGCACTCTGACTGCTCTGTGGAGAATGGATTGAAATGGCCAAGGGTGAGAGCATGTCACATCCTTAGAGGACCCTGAGCAGGCGAGATAGAAATAGGAGTCATCAAAAACATGTAAAACCAGATGTGTAAGAAATGAATCTGGAAGAAAATGCACAAAAAAACCTACCGAGGATCTTTTTGGGATATGGGATTAAAAAACAAAAACATTTTTTCAAAATTTTGGACTATATTCACTAATTAAGGCATTGATACATATTTTTAAAGAAAAGATCTATATGTGTAGGAGGGAAATAAAGGAATGGTATGTTTTAGTTTTTAATATGGTCTGTTTTGTGGAAAGACAAAGTAAATAAACCCACTGGGGCATCCTTAGGAATGTTCAACTTATTTTCATGAAAATGAAGCCCTTTGGAGGTCTTCCAGTGTGAATGATGGAAATAGGCATGTGACTCTCTGACCTTTGTCAAACTGGGCAAGAATATTATAATTCATCCATCAAAGTACATTTTAGTCACTTTTTTGTGTGTAAAATAGCTGTCCACTGAGAATTAGTTTTGTTTAAGAAAATATATTGCTAATTCTGAGAAACTAAAATAAATGTTCATAGCCAGTAAACTTACTCATCCCTGTATAGTTTTTCTTCCTAAGATTCCTAGTTAACTGTTTATAAGAGCAAGGACTTGGTAACCCCCTTGAAGCCCATCGAGGGAAGATGATTTCAGTAAGTGGCACCACATTTTCATAATGTCCTTAAAAGGGAAGGTTAGATAGGTCTATTTTTAGTTACAAAAGACAGGAGATAGGAAATTGTCATGTCATTTGGGGAGGTTACAAAAGGTGCTCTGATGAGACAGCATTTGAACAGAGCTGGAAGAAAGCGAGTGAGCAAACTATGCACATCTGAAGGGAGGGTACTGCAGACTGAGAGAACAACAAATGAAAAGAACCTGGGCACGGTGAACTTTCTTGCTTCCAGGACAGAAAGGCCACATGGCTAGCACTGTAAGAACAAGAGATGAAGTAAAGAAGGGACTAGCCACCAGATCATGATGGACCTCCCCAGGCCATAATGTGGACTTGGTTTCAGTCTACATGAAATGGGTGCAAACTGAAATGATTTTCAATGGATTGACACTTTTGACGGATGAGACAATACAGTGGTTTGCAGTAGTTCAACTGAGGATTTTCCACCTTTACAATATGAAATCAGTATGCATTCAGCAGAAACCATGCTTTGAGTGCTGGTCTTTTCCCAGCCCAGTGACATGGTGCAAGACTCTCATGATACCAGGCATCTGCAATGCGGGTGAACAACTGACATGTACACTAAGTGTCAGTGGTTATTGTGTTTTGTGTTTTCACATCCTGTCATGTCTATAGATACCAACCTATGTCTGAGATAGCCAGCATTTTATTATAAAATTGGCTTTATGTTAAATGCTGTTGCCCAGTTAAAGATGAATTGTTTTGAACACTTTGAAGGTAAGCTAGGCTATGCTACGATGTCCAGTGGATTAGATGTGTAGTAAGTGCATTCTTGGCTTATGATATTCTGATTTTCCAATGGGTTTGTCGGGAAAGTGGAGATACAATCTCGTGTTATAATAAATTGAGGGAGCTCTATATACTCCAAGGTAAGAATGGAAGCAGGAAGCCCAGTTGGGAACTGTAATAATCCAGGAGTGACATATGGTGTCTTAGAAAAGGGTAGAGCTCTCAGAAGATAAGTAATTTGCCCAAAGGCCCTCAACTGCTTGGGGCAAGGCAGGAATTCCTGTGGAGTCCCCTGACCTTTTATGCTGCCCTGTGGTGCTGTTCTGACTTGCTTCCCTCTCCCTTGTGGCAGATCAAAGATCTGCGAGACCACAAGCTTGACAACCGCATGGAGTCCTTCTTCCTGGCTGAGACTGTGAAATATCTGTACCTTCTCTTCGATCCAACCAACTTCATACACAACAACGGTTCCACTTTTGATGCGGTGATAACCCCCTATGGGGAATGCATCCTGGGGGCTGGGGGCTACATTTTCAACACAGAAGCCCACCCCATTGACCCCGCTGCCCTACACTGTTGCCGGAGGCTGAAGGAAGAGCAGTGGGAAGTGGAAGACTTGATGAGGGAATTCTACTCTCTCAAACGGAATAGGTCGAGATTTAAAAAAAAAACTATGCGCTCTGGGCCATGGGAACCCCCAACAGGGACAGGAGCATTCTCCTCACCAGAAAACGATGACCAGAGAAGAGAAAAGAAACCTACCAAGCAGAAAATCCCACTTCTCAGCTGTCCTAGTCAACCCTTTACCTCTAAGTTGGCATTACTGGGACAAGTTTTCCTAGATTCCTCATAACCACTGGATGCTTTTTTGTTGGTTTTTGAAACTAAGCTAACAATAAATCTGCTTTTAGCTATTGTGTTGTTCTCTTTTACATATTGGGCTGTTTCAGGAGATTTCATCCAAAGAAATGTGTGGCTAAATGTGTTGTCAAATGTGTGGCGTGTGGCTAAAAATAATTGTGAATCCTATTTATTTTTCTCTTATATTTGGAAAAAGGTAAGTCCACTGGCTCAACAGACCTTAGGTTATTAGTTGAATCTGTCTTCCTTCCAAATTTCCCTTTCTCTGGTATCTTTGGGTGGTATTATAAATGTATTCTTCCTCCAGCCTGTGCTTTTGCATTCTTGTCTGCCAACTAATCATCTTCCATGCAACAAAAATTTCTGTTTTGAAACCTATTTCTACCCCCTATTCTTCATTCAATGTAGATTTATGAAACACCTTTGTATGCCAGACTCAGCCCCAGAGTTCAACAGTGAACAAGGCAAAGAGTTGGAAACAAAATTCTAGTGGAGAGAAATAAGCTAGTAAATATATAAGATGACATTGTGGTAAGTACTATGAAGAAAATAGAATGGTATGCTACAAGACAAGGAGTGTAACCATACATAGAGTGGTAAGGGTGGATCTCTCTGAAGAACTAAAGTTCTTTTAAACTTTTAACTTTAGTTCCTTTAAGTTTTAACTTAAGTTAAACTTTTAACTTTAGAAAACTTGCATTAACAAGAGTGGAGAGAACAGGATAATCCTGTTCTTAGTACTTAGCACCAAACTTCAACAAATCCAGCTTCAAAGAAGGTCAGTTCATGATACCTTATTTCATTTCTATCCATTAGATTCTTTAGAAGGAAATTGCCTACATCATAGCATTTCATCTATAAGTATCAGAATGTACTTCAAACACACACCTCTGAAAATCAACAAGTACACATCTGACTAGGGAACAAAAAAAAATAGACAACACAATCAAAAACATGGGAAAAACACCTAAATAGACACTGTCCTAAAGAAGACATTCAGGTGGCCTGTAGATACATGAAAATTTGCTCAACATCAATTATTATAAAGGAATGCATATCACAACCACAATAGGATATCACCCATAGCAAAAAAGAATGAAGATAACAAATGTTGGCTAGAATGTGGAAAAATAAGAAACTCTCATCCACCGTTGGGAATGCAATTTGGAGCAGCCTCTATGTAAAATGGCATGGAGATTCCTTTAGGGAAGAAAATGAGAGAAATCTCATATGATCTAGTAGTACCTCTACTAGGTATTTACCCAAAGAATATAAAAACTCTAATGCAAAAAGACATATTCATAAGAGCACTTTCAATAATTGCCAAGTCATAGAACCAACCTAAGTGCCCATCAACAAATGACTGGATAGAGAAATTGTGGAATATATGTTCAGTGGATTCTATCAGCTACTAAAATACATGAAAAGATTGTCATCTGGGACAAAATGGATAGACCTTGAGGTGATTATGATAAATGAAATAAGGCAAAGTGAAAGGCAGATATCGGATGGTCCCCCATCTGTGGAAGCTAAAATAACTAAAAAATATATACTGGCAGAGTACAGCAAAAACAAATCTTAGTGAAAGTTTTGCTGGTTACCAGAGGAGACAGAGAAGGAAGGAGTAAGAAAGGAAAGGGTTAGGACATTGGTACCATAGGTTCCATGGGCACACATGGAACCTGTTATAGAAACCTGTAAACGGCTGGCAAATTTAAAAATTCACCTCTCCCAAAAAAAGTTGGTTTTGTTTATTTAAAAGTAGACAGTTACAAATAGAAGTATATTACATTACAAGTTGGTTACCAGTTATTAAGAGAATGGCTCGGTTTCCTAAAATCCTCCAAAGGTGACAATGAAGTTAGTTTTCATTTTTAATGACAATGAACTTTTTTTAAAGAGCACTGTGAACTCATAGATTAAAACTCAATCAATAGTTTTCAGACCATTGATCTGCAGATTCAATACAGTGTTTGTCAAAATACTTTTTCTTAAAGAAATAAGCTAACCTACAATTCATATGGAAATTTCAGGAAACCCAGAATAGCCAAAATAGTCCTGAAAAAGAACAAAATTGGAGGACATATCCCAATTTTAAAACTTACTGCAAGCTACAGTAATCAAGAAAGTGTGGAACTGGTGTAAGCACAAATACATAAATTAATGGAATAGAAGTGAAAATCCAGAAATAAACCCTTCCATTTATGGCTAATTGATTTTTGAAAAAGGTTAGGGACATTTTTTTTTTT